CCTGGAGGGTCTGTGGGGCTGGGACTGTGTCTGGGTAGCCCCTAGAACAGTAGGGCCCTGATCTCAGCTGGCCACCCATGCCGTGGACCAGGGCCCCATTGCGCTAGGCACGGCACAGAACAGAAAGGGTTTATAGCTAAGTGTTGGGGCTGACCACAAGTGACCTTGGGCTGATGTTACAGAATGGTTTGGGAGAAGCTAGTCGTGAACTGGCTTTGACCAGCCGACCTGGTTAGCAGCCACTTGGCTGGATAAACAAGTGAAGAGATAAGGAGGGCCAGAGACTGTGAAGTGTGGGCATAGAGAGCAGCCGTGTCTCCTGCCGGAGCCTGCTTGTGGGTGAATACGCCCCCCTTAGAAGGAGGTGATGATTAAAAGCAGCTCTGAGAATTGCTTTAGATTAACAGTCTCACCTGCGGACCTTGTGGCTGCCCAGGAATTCCCCCCGCTGGAGCAGCGCCTGCTATGAGCCCGCGAGGACAAGGCAGGAGGGTCCGGGACTGTCTGTAGCAGAAGGGGCGTACGCATTGATTCTAAGTTGCTGGAAAGCGCGTATTTAGTAACGCGTGATGACTGGGAGGCTTATTATACTTTGGCAATAAAACCGGTTATACTTCTGCACCTGGCGCGGCTTCACTGAGTGTATCCGAGCCCCCCCGGGTCCGACAGTGTGTGATACAGACAGTGAAATTCCCCCATCGGTAAAATGTGGGGAACAAAACTTCCCTGCGTCACAGGAGCAAGAGGAGGCAAGATGTGGCTGGCAGCTGTGGGTACATACACTCCCACTCATGACAGCCTCTTCCTTATTCAGTGAGGCTTCAGAGGAAGGGGGTCAGCTGCCGGCGGCTGACAGGTTAAATGTACGTTTATGAAAACCCAGCGCAAGGAGGTGCCTGAGCAAGTGCTGCCTCTGGGCGCCTGCCAGGGCGGCACCAGCAATCGCAGAGCATTGTCAGCATGATGGACCACAAAGGGCGGGGCAACGGAGCCCAGGGGAAGGGGCACCTGGGGGTGCAGTGGAAATATCTGACCACCATAAAGAGGCACAATCCATGGCCACGCCGCAGAGAGCACAGATAATGGGGCTCCCAGGCTCCGCCACACTGCAAACATTTCTCACACAACCCCCCTTTCTGCCCCGAGAAATTAAATCCTGCAGGTTCCATCATTAGAAATGTAGCATCTGCCCCCAGTTTACTGAATGGGCTCGTTGTCACGGTGCCCCCCATAAGGCGTCATGGGAATATGCTTATGAATGTATATGTGACATAACTAGAATGTGTTGTATGCTACGTATGCCATGTAACATCTCTCTGTAAAGGTTATGATCTACTGAATCTATTCCTCCTATCTGTATGCATGTATCATGTCTAAGTAGCCTTAGTAAAGCATTTGGTCAGCTTCTTGAGAAAGGAATGTGCAAGTTAAGTGCCCAATCCAGAAACACTTAAGGGATAATGGATCTTGGAAGGCTCCAATCCACATAAGACATCTACGTGAGGATGTTCAAAGTAGCACGTGAGCCATGGCTGCTGCCTGTAAAAACTGAGGGTCCTGTGGCACCTTTAAGACTAACAGAAGTATTGGGAGCATAAGCTTTCGTGGGTAAGAACCTCACTTCTTCAGATGCAAGACAAATTGAGGTGAGAAGAAGGTGAGGTTCTTACCCACAAAAGCTTATGCTCCCAATACTTCTGTTAGTTTTAAAGGTGCCACAGGACCCTCTGTTGCTTTTTACAGATTCAGACTAACACAGCTACCCCTCTGATACTTGTAAAAACTGAGTCATGCATGGACATGTGACTTGCCCAGGTGACTCCAAAACTCCATCTTGGAGCTGGACTTTGCATAGGAGAGAGGAGGGGGTCTCCACCCACAAGAAAAAGTCTATTTAAGCCCGTGGGAGACCCCTCCATTTTGTCTTCAGCTGGCTAAAGAGAGAGCCTCTCCACCCCCAAGGATACCTGAAAGAAACTGGAACAAAGGACAGTAACTACAGGGGGTGTGATTGATTGCTGGACCCAGACTAGAAGGAGACTAGTATGTAAAAGGAAGCTTACTGGAATTCTTCTAAGGGTGAGGTTTTTATCTGTACTCAGTTTTCTTACTGTATTAAACTCAGACTTGCATGTTTTATTTTATTTTACTTGGTAATTCACTTTGTTCTGTCTGCTATTACTTGGAACCACTTAAATCCTACTCTCTGAATTTAATAAAATCACTTTTTACTTATTAATTAACCCAGAGTACGTATTAATACCTGGGGAGGCAAACAGCTGTGCATATCTCTCTATCAGTGTTATAGAGGGCGAACAATTTATGAGTTTACCCTGTATAAGCTTTATTCAGGGTAAAACAGATTTATTTGGGGTTTAGACCCCATTGGGAGTTGAGCATCTGAGTGTTAAAGACAGGAAGACTTCTGTGAGCTGCTTTCGGGTTAAGTCTGCAGCTTTGGGGCACGTGGTTCAGACCCTGGGTCTGTGTTGGGGCAGACGGGCGCGTCTGGCTCAGCAAGACAGGGTGCTGGGGTCCCAGGTGGGCAGGGAAAGCAGGAGCAGAAGTAGTCTTGGCACATCAGTTGGCAGCCCCAGGGGGGTTTCTGTGATCCAACCCCTCACACTCGTGACTTGCGTGGGGATTTACCAGCCAAGCTGCAAGGAGCTCCCCACATTCAGCAATAACTAGAGCTGAACAACTAACTACTATTCTGGGTCACTGACCCAACCGCGACCTGGACAATCGTTTGGGGGCGAGGGAAGTGGGTTTTTTTCATTTTTGAATTTTTTTAACTCTTTTAAAAATAAAATTGAATTAAAATTAGTCATTGTCAGGATGACAATTAATCATTTGAGATTAAAAAATCCAAATGTTTCCTTAGAAAATGTCAAAATTGAAACAGATTTTTTTGGGTTTGTTGTTGTTGTTTTTTTAACCAAGACAATTCAGCAGATGCAACACAAATTTGCAAAATGTCTTGGTCGATCTGAATCTGCATTTTGTGGCCAAAAATGAACTTTAGCTGAACTATTTTGCCCCACGGTGGCTCTAGCCAGGTGCGGGGTTCTGCGGGCTAAGGGAATTTGGACCAGGCTATGCAATTCTGTCCTTTATTAGAAGGAGAGAGGATCTACTCCACACGGAACATTTCTGCAAACTGGGACTGGACCCAGAGGTGCCAGGTGCTTTGGGACCCTCCCACACCTGTCACTGGCAGAATATTCTCTAGCCTTGAAAGCAGAATAGAGCTAGTCAACACAATAGGTCTCTTCCTGTCTCCTGCAGCTCCCTCTCCTATTTCTAGAGCTGCCATCACTGAGACGTCTGGACTGTTGTCTCTGAGGCTCCTGAGACGGTAGGATTTTATAAAGACCAGCAGCACCTGTGCGATGGTCTGACCTCCTGCATTAGCGCAGGTCAGAGAATCCCACACCTTGACTTCTGCGTGGAGCCCAGGCACGTGCGGCTGGGCACGAAAAGAGATCCCGTTTCCATGAAAAGACTGCAAGTGAGTGAGGACCCACATCATCTCTGGGGAAGCTGCCTTAGTCCTTACTGCTCAAAGTCAGTGCCTCCTTCCCAGCTTGAATTCTTCTGGCTTCAGCTCCCAGCTCTTGGTCTTGTCCCACCTTTGCCTGCTAGAGTAAGGAGACCTCTAACCCCAGGGAGCCTGTTCGGAGGCTCATGGTAGCAATAAAGCTTCTGCAACACTGCAGCCCAGGGGACACAGAACTGCTGTGATACCTCCTTCTGCACCGCTATTTTCTCCCCTCCTGCCACTATCTCAGTGACTGATTGTGCTGAGAAACACTCCGCCTCATCGGCCATGGACTTCTCTCCTTGAGCAGGAAAGCCCCCACTTAACTTTTCCCTGCATTTCACACTGGAGATAGACCCTCCCCACGCCTGCTTTAACAGCTTACCCTATAGGCTAATTTGCTAGAGTAATATTTATGAATGTTTTTAACACTGAAGTACATGGAATATTTAGCCAAAGGGCTTTATTGCCATGGAAACTTTAAATATTTAAGAGGCATGTCACGGTATCACTGTCAGCTCAGGAAACATTTATATCCGACTCACAACAACGCTAAAATTTAGCGTGGCCAGTCTGTGCCGCAAGTTTAGTTACATACACTCACAGCCTGGCAGAGGCAGGCCATGAGCTGGCCCATGTACGGATCTCATCTTCCACCTTAGCTCTGGTGAGTTTCTCTTCCAGTAGAGGTTCAGGGAAAAATACTCCAGCTCCCTGTCTCCCTTTGACACCTCTGCACTGTTTCACCTTCTTATGCTAGGCACTAACTCCCCCTGCTCCCCATCCCTCTGCAAAGATGGGCACCAGCCGTGTCTCTTCTCATGCAGCCTACAGGGCACTGCCAGTTAACAGCTGGGCATGCAGCACACTGGAGGGCAGGGGGCTTAGTTAGAATCTTAGACTAAGAGGGTTGGAAGAGACCTCAGGAGGTCATCTAGTCCCACCCCCTGCTCAAAGCAGGGCCAATCCCCAGATCCTTAAATGCCCCCTTAAGGATTGAACTCACAACCCTGGGTTTAGCAGGCCAATGCTCAAACCACTGAGCTATCCCTCCCCCATGATCGTTCGCCATCATCCTGCCCCTCACGCAGTCAGAGCTCGTGCAGCGCAGGCATTGGATGCTGCTCTTATCCGGTAACGTTTTAGGCCCCGTCACAGAGAACCTGTCACCTCTGTGGGCAGCATGTGCTAGTTATATTGTGGGTAGGCAGCACGTAGACCCCAGGCCTAGAGGAGCTCCAGGGCTCTGTTCCCAGCTCTGTCACACACAGGTCAGTGACCTTAGGCAAGTCCCTTCCTCTCAGTGCTTGTTTCCCCTCTCACCCTTTGCCTGATGATGCCACTTGCCCAGATTACTGCCCCTAGCACTGTAGGACCATAATGGGATATGAGGTGATCAACCCAGCCCTGCCCCCATCTTTGGGAAGAGCCCCAGTAAATGATCAGAGTAAGTCACATTTCGATTGCTTTATTCCAAGGACTCAAACTTAAAACCAACAGGAGATGTTACAGATAATAGATGTGAAGCTTAAAAATCCCAGCCGTGGAACCCTAGTACACCAATCCCCGTTACAGGAGCAGACTTGCTAAAACTAAACTTAAGTTCCCGGTGCCGCTAACCAGAACAACGTCCAGCCGTGAAATCCTTTAAAAAGGGAGAGGAATAGGCCTGTTAAGAGAATAACCTTGCAGCGGATCAGAGTGAGACTCAATAGGATGTGGTTCTGGCATTAAAAACACTTCATAGCTTTAGTCACAAGTTCTTCTTCTAACAGGCATCTGTTCGGAGAGACTCAAGTCCCCAGTGCTATTGCAGGAGAGTGATCCTGCTAGTAGCTCTTGGACTTTCATGCTTTCCTCCTCTATCCCCACACAGCAGTTTAATTAAAAATTCAGGTTAAGAAAGAGGTTTTCAGCCCCTGCAGTTGTTCGCATCACAAGATTAACCAAAGACAGACAGAGACCAGCTGGCAACAGGCAGGTTCATGACTGAGTCACCGCAGGGCCATGCAAGCAGCAGCAGCCGAACATCTCCTGGGAAGCGTAGGTTACGTAGAGAAAGCCATCCTCATCCTTGTGGTCGCTGTACACCTCCCCCACGGTCATGCTCATGCTGGGCAGGCCCTTGTTTACTAGCAGGTAGAAGGCCTGCGTTGCTGTCAGAGACATGCGAGTTCTGGGGGTTTAAGGAGATTTTCAGAGACTGTTAGATAATGAGACTCACAACAGTTCCAAGGAGCGTGAATTGCAGCATTTGGCATCTCGAGTTACTGATGTCATCAGTGATTGTCACCAGCTGCTGTACAGACAGGATGGACCCTGCCCAAGAGACCTTGGCATCCGAGTACAAGATGGAACAGGTGAATGAAGCATTTAAAGGCTCTCGATGACTATGCAATGTCTCTGGCTCTCCCCACAGTCACCAAGCCTCAACACTGAATGCATGTGAGGGAGGAAGTCTCATCTCCATGAGACAGGGAGCTGAGGCCCTAAGAGGCTAAGTGATGCACCCAAGGCCATCCAAGGAAGTCATTGGCAGAGCAGGGAATTGACACCCTCCTCCCCCCCCCCCCAGCTCTCCCAAGTCCCAGGATAGCACCCATAACCCCTGCTCTGCCCTTCCTCTGCATGTTCTCAGAGTCCACACAGAGCATCCTTCAAAGAGGTAGTCACCACTCCCTCGCACACATTCTGCACTTGTTATTGTAGGGTTGGCTTGCATGCATGCTGTTTGTGTTGGTTAATCCTACTGGAGCGTTTGTGGTTAACAAGATACTCATGACAGAGGCCCAGTAGCAGTTCTTATAATGTGTGTCAGACCTGACACCAGCGTGTTAGGTGCAGTATCATATACTGACAGTTCACACCCCACCCAATGACGTTTGGAACCAGCATGTGTACAGGGTGTGTATAAAGAGTTATAAATAGGTGCTAGAATCGCCCTCAAAGTCTCTCTGGCAAGATATGCCAAGCCCAGTCTGCCTAGGCAACGGAATGTGTATTTGCTTGTTGGACCTGCCTGGTCACCAGGCAGAGACAAGAAAGGTACATTTCTATCCCAGGTAAACAAGAGCAACCTAGCAAATGGGGCAGACGGCCTCGGAGTAGCATCATGGGGGAGGAAACTGCAGAAGTTAGTGTGGTGTCAGTTCCCTGGCGGGAACAGCAAGGTGGGCCCCCAGGAGAGCTTCCTGGCTCTTGAAGCAGGGTCAGTGACCTTTGGGAAGAGAGAGAAAAGGCCATTTGGCCTCCTTCACTGAGGGGACCAAAGGAACCCAGCACTTGCCACTGTTTTTATTCCATATCCTTGGCATCACTTAATCCCCGTCCGTTTTGTTTAAGGGACTTGTTTTACTTTTGCTATAAACCAATTCAGTCCTTTGATGAAAGGAGAGTTTGTTAACCCCAGCTAAGTCCATGCACTGCTGGGTACCGTCTCTTCAAGGAAGCCACTAACGTAGTAACTCGTTTAAGAGTTGAGCGCAGGGGCTGGTGGATGCTACAGGGCAGATTTGGGGGGGGGGGGGGGAGGAGGAGGAGGACGCCATGCACAGAGCACCTGGGCAGGCAAAGCCAGGGTGCAGCTTGTGTGTTCGCTGTTTGCCACAGCAGCACAGCATTGAAGGCAGCCAGCAAGAACCCTGCAGCATCACAGCACCACACAGCCATGTTGGATGGCGCGCGGGCCAGGGAAACATTCTGCCTCAGTGGTGCCACTTTGAGCAGGAAAGCGGAAATGCCAGCCCCAAACACACAGAGTAGCACAGCGAGCTGCTGCCCCGGCCTGTGGGGGTGGTGGTGGTGAGGGGGGGCTGCTGTTTTCCATTAGCCCCCCCTCACCTTTGTTGTTCTAGTTATTCATCCCTTCTCACTGATTAGTGCAACCCTGAGACATCTGTAATAAGCCAGCTTGGAAAGAAGTTATTAGTCATCTCAGCTGAGCACGCAGGGCTGGGATCCAGGAGGGCTGTCTGTCTTATTAAGCCTTGCAAGTTTGGTATTTCTGGTCTCTAGTTAGAGGGAGTTTCTTTGATCAGGTGTAATGCTGCTAATTAGCACTCGGAGCCTCTCTCCGACATCACTAACCACTGTTGGCAGCAGCGACAGCTTGTTTGCATCACTGCTAATTGCCTGCCTCTAATCAGCTATTCACCTGTGCCTGTTTGCAACTTCACACAGATCATTCACATCAAACAGCAGAAAAGCCAGGCCGCCGGCGTGCCACTGCAGGCCTCAGCAACAAGGCCATTCCCAGCCTCCCATCCCAGAGGGAGCAGGAAATTCTTTACAGCAGCAGCCCCTCCCAGTCAGGGGAAGAGGGGCCAGGTCTGTTACACCAGTGGCCCTGGTGGACTTGCAAAGCTGGTCTGGTTTCACCAGTGCAAACCCTGAATGCAGACGCACTTAGAGTTTAAGCCTCACGCACCTATGGTTGCCAACTCTGACTGAAGCTATTCTGGGAGATCCCCCCTCTCCCCACCCCCAACATGACAAGGTCATTTCCTTAAAATAGCCTATTAAAGTCTCCCAGATTGCCTTCAGCAGTCACCAGGAGATCAGTGCTGATTCTGGGAGACTCCAGGCCAATCCTGTAGGGTTCACAACCCTACTGTCACCCTGGTTCCCAAATTAAGCCAGACAGGTTTAAGGTGCAAATGCTTCTGCATTAGAGGTTTGCATTGATGCAACCAGTTCAGACTTCAGCCTATTTAGTGAGATTGATGCAGCTTTTCCAATGTGGACAAGCCCTTTCTATTTTAGAGTGTGTGAGGGAAAAGAGAGGGGACTTGCCCTTTCCCAGATCTGGATCACATGAAAGAGCAAACCCTCCCCCCGCGCACTCATTCCTTACCGCAGGGTGATCACAAACTGAGACATGGACGAGTCCTGGGAAACTAGAAACTTGGTCCTGTCCAACAGAGGCAGCTGCTTCTCCTTCCGGTAACGCTCCACCACCACCTGGAGCCAGAGAGGAGAGACGGGTCAGAGCAGGACCTAGGGAGTTTGCAGACCAGCTTCCCTGTCCCAGAGGCACTGAGAGCCCACAGGGCCACCTGAGACTAGAAATGCCTTTCCTGAGGGTCTCACTTGCACCATTCCCAAGCCCCAGCATCCAACTCAGGCCCTGGACAGCCCTGGTATTTATAAAGGAAGGTTGAGATTTTTATTTGGTGGATGGTTTGAGCCTGTCAAGGTCTCATTTTCAGGCTTCCCCAAGCCACCAGGCATAGAAGTTTAAACCAACAGTTTCCCCATGAGAAAAGCGATCACACAACCCACAGCAAATTCATGGGAGTCCCCCATGCTGCCTTCACAGGGCAGAATTTGCCCTTCATCTGCAGGTCTCACTGGATGTGGGCACTTCATTCACTCAATTTCACGGCCCACGACTCCTGTGCTGGCCTAGGTGACAGTGCCTGGTGTGCAGATACCAGGCTATGTGGTGTAGTGGTAAGAAGCCGGAGTGGGGCGGGAGAAGCTGTGGGCCTTGAGTTCGGTTAGCGAAGCTCAAGAAGAGTTAAACTCCCCCAGGGCAGACAGAGTGAGAGGAACGTTACCGGGATCTTGGTGGGGTACTTCGCCCGGATTTCAGCTGCTTCCCGCATCCTACTGGCTGCAACAAGAGAAACAGACACCTGGGTACAGGGGCCAGGCCTGGGCCTCCACCCCAGCTCTCTTCCCCCCTTGGCATTTCTCCCCAATCCCCCCGGGATTTACCCAGGCTCTTCCGCTGCTTGAAAGAGCGACCGTCGCTACTGCTTCGGCGGCACAGCATCTTCTGGCGGAGGAAGGTTCCCGCTGCCCTCAGGACTCGCCCTGCAGAGCCGTGTCACTGGTGCTGAGAGCAGAGGCTACCTGGGCCCCTGATATAGCCCCGCCCCGCCCACATGCTCAGGTGGGGGCGGAGCCAGTCCTGAGGCCACTGGCTGCCCTGTAAGCCTCCAGCCAGGCGCCAGGCAGAAGCAGACCAAGCAATTGCTTAGGGCCCCACGCAGCTCAAGGGGGGGGCCATTTGCTTTCTATGACGTGTTGGGGGGGCCCCACGGGTTAGCACGGCCACTGGCGGCGCCATGCCAGTGCAGGACGAGGGTGAGACACCCAGGGCAAGCCCCGCTGTGCATCCGTGCCGTGTCTGCATGAGGGGTAGCTGCTCCATTGGGCTCGTCACACCAGTGCACATTTCCCTTGTCCAGGTGGGGCCCGACGGAGAAGGCAAGCGATGATTTGGGGGTTCTGCAGCTGGCCTTCTGGTTGTGCGCATGGCTGGTCCTCCTGGCCAAGCTGCCCCTGCTCCAGCGTCCCAGCCCCACAGGCTGCCACTCCACGCAAAATACCGTGTGGAAGCTGCAGATGGAAGCCCTCCAAGGGCAGGGTTCAGGAGCCTCAGCCCCGCGGCTCCAGACAGAGCACAGCGCTGCCCTCTGCGAGATGAACTGGGGCAAAGCGCCTGGGTTCAAGCCCGGCTGCCTCAGTGCAAACAGCGGCTCTGCCCGTCAGTGCTCAGGGTCTGGCAGGGAATGGGGACGCCAGTGGCTGAATTCAAGGCCAATTCAGAGCCAGATGTACGTCAGCTCAGCTCCCAGCCAGAGCCCAGCTCACCGCTGGCACAGGAGGGGCGGCTGTGGGGTTCAGGCCCTCTGCTGCAGCAAATGTGGGTTCAATTCCTGGCTCTGCCACAGACGCCTTGTTCGACCTTGGGCCAGTCGCTAGGCGCCCTGGGGTAATAGTCCTGCTGGTGCATGTTCAGGCTCTTTGCCGCAGGGGCTGCCCCTCATTGTGTGTCTGGGCAGCACCTGGCACCTGCTCCTGGCACGAAACCCATAGCCGCAGTGGCAGCCCAGGGCTTTGCGAGGGTCTGGCCAGCTCACCGGAGGCCCTGTCCCCTGAGATCCCTGGAACTTAGTTCTTATCAAGATAATGACACAGGAGCCGTTGTGCTTGGAAGTGTAGTGGGCAGCCAGCCACTCGTCACACGCCGACTCCCCATGGACTCACAGCAGCCCAGCAAGGCTATTTCCCAGTGTCACTGCTGGAGGGCGGGCTGCCGTGTTCAAAGCCCCAGCGCCTCTTGCTGGAGCACGACTGACCTCATCCTTCTCTAATTGTTTGCGTCTTTTGTTTGTTGCATTTTATGAGTCCCTTCCTCCACGGCCTCTCCACGCTGTCATTGCCACCATCAAACCAACTCGTGCATCCACCGGCGCCTCGGACGCCCGGCTACGCCAGAGCACGGCCCGTACCTCGCCCTTTCCCCGCCTCTGAGTGGCGCATGGGCAGCGGGGACACAGAGAAATGCACCGGACGCAGCGAAAGGCAGGGAGGCGGCGTCCGGGCTGGGTGGGAGCAAGAGGCTGAGGCGGAGGGGCGGGGGAATATCGAACGTGGTTTGTCTTTTCTGCCATAAGAGACGAGATGGGAGTTTTGATCAGGCTTTGGCTGCGTAATTAAAGAGGCCCCCGGGGCCAGCAGAGCCGTGCAAGGAGTGGCTGTCGATAGCAAGGGCTCAGGCAGTGTCACGGCTCATAGCCGGAGTGGGGAGCAGCGACAGATACTGTAGCAGGTGACCTCCACCAGAGCAGGAGTCCCCACCCATGGCTGTCTATGAGGAGCCGTGGGGCCGCGCCTGCCCTCCGGGGCACCATGTGCAGGCATTTGCATGTGTACAAAGTGGGGGCATTCATTACAGGCCGGATTCTCCGCTCCGTCACCATGGCTTTACCCTGACAATGATGCGGCGGCTCTGGGCTTATGCTGACGTGAGCACACGCGCCGCTCTGCCCTGACTGGCAACAGCCTGTGCTGTTAACGTGGACCTATGCTCTCCGTGACACTCCAGTCCTGAGCTTGAGGGGCACCGCAGAGCTGGGGGGCGGGGGGTGGAGCTCGGGATAACAGGGCTGCGGGTCGGGAGTGAGAGGCACCAGCTGGGCTGAGCGGGAGAGGGAGCCCAGGGCTGGGATAGCAGAGAGCTGTAGGTCGGGATTGAGGTTATTCATCTCAGGGAGGGGTTGGACTAACCGTGTCTAACATCCAGCGTTACGTCACTGTGTGTCGGCATCTGTCCAGCGTGGTGCTGAGCGTATCGCTTATTGACCGAGAGAGAGAGAATGCGAACGTGAGGGTCCCCCAGGGAGCGTGCGTTCGATAATTTAAAGCATTTTATAAAACAATTTGTCCCCAAATCGATCAAAAGAGAGAGAGAGAGTTCGGACGACAACATCCCTCCGACAACACACATTCATTAAAAGAGAGGATAAAAAATGGATAGAAAATACAAAGTTAAAAGTCGCCCCCAGAGAAAGCCGAGGAGAGGAGGATCCATCTGACACAATCTCCAGCAGTGTCTCCCTCCCGGGGAACTTTACGCTTCTTTGTGCAGGTGCGTGGATGGACAAAGTGCAGGCCCCCTGCCAGAGACGCCTTCCCGGGAGCCCCCTGCCAGAGACGCCATCCGGGGACCCCCTGCCAGAGACGCCATCCGGGGACCCCCCTGCCAGAGACGCCATCCGGGGGCCCCCTGCCAGAGACGCCTTCCGGGACCCCCTGCCAGAGACACCATCCGGGGACCCCCTGCCAGAGACGCCATCCGGGGACCCCCCTGCCAGAGACGCCATCCGGGGACCCCCCTCCCAAAGACCACACCCGGGCGCCCCCGGCCAGACACGCGTT